TTACTGTTGTTATTACGTAAGCACACATGCATGTGTATGCACTTGGCTATTATTATTTTTATGGATTAGTTCATCATCTTGTTTCATCCTTAATATTTTTATTTTCACCAAATAGATTATTTCTAATCTGTCTTTATAACTATTTCATTTTTATCACCTAAATTGTACGTAATATTCTTTAGATAAATTATATCGGTTTTTTTTCTTAACAAATAATTTTATCTATTCTATATTTTTTTTCTGTAAGGTGTCACAGTTCCTCTATCCACGGTCAATGCATGTGCCACATGCAGAGTCCTCCCGAAACAAGTACAACCGATTTCTCCTCTCACCCGTTCCAATCAGCTTCTTCGAGGCTTGGTCTTGTATAAGGCATATGTCAAAAGTGCATTGAACAAAACAGTTCAAGTCATCATTTAACTGAGTCACAGAGATAAAATTACAGTTCATTTTTGGCACATATAGTACATGTTTTAAACACAAACCAGCCGCAAATTGTACACAACCTTCGTTAGTAGCAAGAATCTTTTCCCCGTCCGGTAAACTAACCGAACATGAAATAATCGGTTTCATATTAAATAAAAAAAATCTTATTGCTACAAATATGATTTGTAGCCCCTCTGTCAATTATCCAAGAATTGCTATCAAGCTTATCCATCATCCGGTTATTGGAAGGTTGTGTATTACCGAATGCCGCAACCAAAGTGTGCCACTGTCCCGCCATAAACCCAGGCAGTAGTGAGTCTGCCCCTGCACTGGAAGCTGTTCCATTTGCCCCCTCGTCTAGTCTGGTTGTCTCTGTGGCTGCTGCATGTACTTTAGCACCTGATTTGGTGCGTTTGTGATCTTTCCCTGGAGCAACCGCAACACCTTTCCCTTGTCCAACACCTTTGCTTTCAACCCGTGGGCGGTCACCCCACCAGTCCGGATAGCCCTTTAATTCAAAGCAAGAAGTCACATCATGTCCCGTATATTTGCAATACGTACACACAAGGCCTGCTTTGTCCGGTTTGGCTCCACGTTTTGCACCTTGGACGTGAGTTTTGACTGCAAAACCCAAGATTTCTTGAGGTTCTACGTTGGTATTCATGCCTTGTACTCGCTCCTCTTGTGTAATTTGCTGATACACACGATTCAACGTGGGCAGCGAGACTTGCGTGAGAAGCTGAGACCTAACATCCCTTCGCTTTTCGTCTTGTTTTGCGACATCACACTTGCAGCCTTTGCAGGTACACGCGATGATGGTGATGGATCGTCAGACCAGGGGTGGCTAGAATCCACCGAGAATAAGAGAGGAAATAGAGAGAGCGAACTGGCTTGCAAGTCTCACAGTATGAAATTCAGAGTGCGATTGATCAAAGTTCAAGCATCCAAAATTCAATCCCTTTCCACAAGTTGGAAGGTGATATTTATACTAAGGAGAAAGGGAAATACTTGGTGCCCAAGTAAAAAGATATTAGTCTAATAGGAGAGGGGCACATGTAAAGCTACTCTAACAAACTACCAGACTAAATGGACCGGGAGCAGCCACATGGAAAGCTGATTGGAGAGAGAGAGCTTCTGGTAGCTGGCTGATTGATCATTCTTCTAACAGAAATCCTGCCAAAGATCTCGTGCAGCTGTATGCAGATAATCCGGTTCATTCCATCAGTGCGGAGAGTGATGTGGCGATGTCTCTCCACGAACTAAGCCCTTGCGGATTTCGCCTAAGTACAGGGTGCTTTTCTCCTGACCTCGAGGGTTACTGAGGTCGGTATCTGGGGGGTCGGGCCTATGTTGAGAGGACTCGTTCTGCTATCTTCCGTTCTTGCTTTGGAGGTGGGTTGACCGCCTTGTGCCCTGATTGACGTTGACCTGGAGTAAGAATTCTGAGGTCAGACTTGGTGCCGATCTCGGATGTTCCGAAGTCGGGCTCATGAATCGCCGAGTTTGGTTGGCTCCTGAGCTCGATGTTTTCCCGACCTCAAGGTCGGGGTCGGGGTCGGTGGACCTCGTTATCTGCTGAGTTTACTTGATTCCTGAAATTGATGTTTCCTGACCTCGGCGGTCGGGGTCGGGGTCGGATCCAGATGTGGACTTGGTATTTTCTTGCCCCCAATGAACCCGCAAGGCTCTCTACCGGCGATTGCGGTACCCCTGGGGTATACGGGAATATACTCCATCATGAGTCCCCCACTCTCCGAGGCGAAAGTGAAACTTGAGGTGAGAGAGAGTAAATCTTCAATTTCCTGGGCGCGTTTGCCCGGCAGTGGTGCTGCTCTTCCATGGTCATGACAAAGGGGTACCTCATTAAAAACTCCGTTGAGGAAAAACCCTGTGGGAAAAAATCCTAACGGAGGAAAAAGAGTATACTCCGCTTTGCCATGAAGTCTGGAGAGGAAAGCAACGCCCCGCTGCAGAGAAGTATGAGCCCGGGCTTCGTGTATTCCGCGTTCCAAACCTGCCTCATGGGTTAGTTGCTACGTCCGCGGCCCCAACTGCGGGTTGATAAAAAATTTTGTGTGCGGAAAATTTGTAAGGAATTTTAACCTATGTGTGAAGTTTGAGGATATACCTGTTCGATGCTGAGCCCGAGGTGACTACGTTGTTCTGAGCTTGTTTGTTGTATTCTTGTTTTTGCTGCTTTCTGATTTGTTTCCCGAGTCCCCCACTTACCAGTCCCCCACTCTTGTGGACTTAGAATATTTTCTAAGTGCGGAAGAGTATTAGTGTTTGGGGGATGAGGCAGTTGCATTTATCGCTTGGTGGACTTTAGGAGAAATTGTGGCGTGTAGTAACGCTGATGTATACAAATAGGAATCTTTACATATTCCTTTTGCAACATTTTGGAATAATAGACACTTCTCTGCATTTAATGTGAGGGATGGCGTTTGAAGTGATTGTACGGCGCCATCATTGCGCCTTTTTGCACGCCTTTCTGAAAAAACATTTGAGTTTTTTGGGCGGCTGGAGATTATTGCGCCACGTGTAAGTCTTCCGTTCAATTTTGAAGGGAGGTATAAAAGGCGAAAACTTTCGTCTTTCTCCTTTGCGCTTTCTTTTGTATTCGAGTTTTCAGAGTTTCCAAGCATTTCAAGAGCTCATCTTCTCCGGTCATTGCTTTGCGAAGTTTTAGTTTCCTCCGTCGACTTCCCCAACCAGGTTAGTCTCCGGCTCTATTTGCTTGTTCTTTGCCTGTCGGAAGAAACCCAAAATAAGGGGTTTTCCATCAATTTCAGCCCTGTGAACAATGGGGGGTCTACAGTCCCCCATTCTTGGTGAGGTTGGCACCTCTGGACTCGGAATCGCATTCTGATGCTGGTTCGAATGTCTAATTTCTGTTTGTAGGTCGGATTGTTGGTCCTTAACCCCCAACCCCAAATTTTGACTGTCTGCATGTATGTGTGTGTTTTCTGCAGATTTTAAAAAAATGTCTTCCCAAGGTGCTGCTGGAGATAGGGCCGTCCCCCCAAGCGAGGTTGGGGACACCGCTGCTGTGCTTGACGTGCCTCCCATCCACTTTATTAGGAAGCGGAGAAGCAGCAAGAAGAAGTCTGGGAATGCAGTGGGCACCCTTACGGAGAACGGTCCTCTCGTGGATGTGTGTGCTCTTACTGACGGCGAGTGGGCCGAGGGTGGCCGGAGTCCATCGAGAATAAGAGAGGAAATAGAGAGAGCGAACTGGCTTGCAAGTCTCACATTATGAAATTCAGAGTGCGATTGATCAAAGTTCAAGCATCCAAAATTCAATCCCTTTCCACAAGTTGGAAGGTGATATTTATACTAAGGAGAAAGGGAAATACTTGGTGCCCAAGTAAAAAGATACTAGTCTAATAGAAGAGGGGCACGTGTAAAGCTACTCTAACAAACTACCAGACTAAATGGACCGGGAGCAGCCACGTGGAAAGCTGATTAGAGAGAGAGCTTCTGGTAGCTGGCTGATTGATCATTCTTCTAACAGAAATCCTGCCAAAGATCTCGTGCAGTCGTATGCAGATAACCTGATTTATTCCGTCAGCGTGGAGAGTGACGTGGCGATGTCTCCCCACGAACTAAGCCCTTGCGGATTTCGCCTAAGTACAGGGTGCTTTTCTCCTGACCTTGAGGGTTACTGAGGTCGGTATCTGGGGGGTCGGGTCTGTGTTGAGAGGACTCGTTCTGCTATCTTCCGTTCTTGCTTTGGAGGTGGTTTGACCGCCTGGTGCCTTGATTGACGTTGACCTGGAGTAAGACTTCTGAGGTCAGACTTGGTGCCGACCTCGGATGTCCTGAAGTCAGGCTCATGAATCACCGCGTTTGATTGGCTCCTGAGCTCGATGTTTTCCCGACCTCGAGGTCGGGGTCGGGGTCGGTGGACTCCGTTATCTGCTGAGTTTACTTGATTCCTGAACTTGATGTTTCCCGACCTCGGCGGTCGGGGTCGCGGTCGGATCCAAATGTGGACTTAGTATTTTCTTGCCCCCGATGAACCCGCAAGGCTCTCTACCGGCGGTTGCGGTACCCCTGGGGTATACGGGAATATACTCCATCAGATGGGTTCATGATTATTTAATGCATCCCATAGGATTTTTAATTTAGCATAATATGTACCCACGTTTATCTCGCATGCTTGAGAGCATTTCGCAAGATCAGTTTTTACTTGATGTATTTTCGGCCCATCAACTGCTGAGTATCATTCCTGGAGATCCTTCCACAGCTCATGAGCATCTTCATATTGAGAAAGAGTACATTTAACCTCTGCCGATATAATATTAAGAAGCCACGAAACCACCATAGACTGTATCATCAACCAGTCCTCTTCTGTCCATGGAGCAACTGGTTTAACGATTGTGCCGTCAACAAACACACATTTCCATCGTGCTCTTAATTCTAATCGGACGGCGCTTGCCCAACTGTCATAATTATCTCCGGTTAATCGTACCGGTGTGATGAAATCACCCGGTCTATCTTGTGGTCCAAGATAGAAGGGTGAAGTATGGTCGAAAGGGGCTATAAAGAAGTTGGGCTGTAGACCAAACTCCGCAGTCAGCTCCTCGTACCCATCGCTCTAAAGTCTAAAGTCCAAAGAGTCGACGACTTTGTTTTATGAATTGTTTTCTAAAGAGTCGACGACTCAAACCCGGGTCCCATTATTGTTAGATTTATAACTGTTTCTGTTACACGTGTCAGATTCCTGGGCGAGCGATGCAGAGTTTAAAGAATGGTTTCCAGCGGTGACGTAACGGCCCAACATTTTGGAGTGAGCTCCCAGCTTTCTTTGACCACCCCTTCTCCCTCAAGGTAAATCTCTCGCTGAGCTCCTTTATTACTCCTGCATTCATAATTTGGAGTTTGTTGTGTAGATTCTGTTTTCTGTTTATAGCTGATCTGAAGTCTTGCAGAGGAACTCGTTTGCGCGTTCTGGAATCAGCATTTTGGGGGGAAATATGCAGCGAGTAACTCTGATTCAAAGATTTTCGCGAACCTTCCGCGACAATCCCTCGCTTTCTAAGCTTCTCATCGTTTTCACCATCAGGTGATTTCAATATTTACTCCCCTATCGTGATTTTTTTATGATGCTTCTTCATAAAGATTTCCGAATGGTTACTCCGAGTACTTGCAGTTTGGACAGAAGAAACCGATTCTCAGCACGAACAAACTTTGATTGTTTGCCTAATATTCACTTAATTAATTGAATCCTATATGTGCATGAAGTTTCTAGATCTACAATTGTCATACGATTGTATACAAGGGTTTGCTGGTAGACCAGTTGGTCGTTATTTGACCTGGTTGAATTGTTCGTTAAATGGTCTAGCACTCCAACTCTACATGACTATGTATGATTGTGAATGTGTATGATTTCATTTATTATTTGCTTGAGAACTTTTATTTGATAAGTAGAGTATGTGCACAGTTGTTAGTTAAACTATTGGGACAGCTTACAACATACAAACTCCAAAGATATTCATTTTTCTATAAAATTGAAAAACTGAAGTGGTGTATACTTCTCATGTTTTCAAATTTAGAAGACAAGCATGTTTGAATCAGCACTTTTCAAATTTAGAAACCATTAATTTATTCTCTCACGTCTCTATTTTTCAGAAAAAAAGAAAACATATTGATTACGCTATCCAAAATAGCGAACAGTTTCCTCATTAAAACAACCTCTGGCTATGACATTTACGAGTTAAGACTATCCATATGACCATATACATACTCCACCAATGGTTGGCCCCTACAGAAATGTGTCATCATCAACCATCGGACTATCTCCATGGATCATCCTATAAAATACATCAATGTCATCTACTACCGTCACCAACCTCCTGTGCCCGTGGACCCTACACGACATACATGATATTTCAGCATATGTACCTGTGAAAACAGTTTTTCCATATCAGAAAAAATATCAAAAAAATAAATTATAGAACTGAAAAGATGAAAAAATGTAAAAAAAAGAAAAAACAAAAATAGAGTATTTGAAACGGAAACAAAAACTAGGAAAATGAAGAAGAAGAAGAAATAAACAGGCCCTCCTGCCCTTTCTTGTTAGCCGTTGTCATCACTCATCATCACCCTACACGTTCTCCTAACTATATTGGGGTTGGTAGCATGAAACTTGCAGTTTCAATTTAACACTTTAAAATTAGTAAAACACTATAAGTTCATGTAAATGCATAATATCAATGTTTTGCACATTTTTTTAAAGTTTAACTGTCTAAAATTATTCTATAAATCCAACTGGTTTTCTATTATACTCTTATTCATTAAGTTAACTTCTTTGCTCTATTGCTTTAGTTTACTGCTTTACATTGCATGAAAAAGTTGTATTTTGATATAAACAGTCTTGCGTAGCTTCAGTAAAATAGTACGTTCTTGTAGACCTCACACTAGACTTCTTTGCTGAAGAAGTAAGTCAAGTATTCAGATGTATCACTCATCTCTTTTCTTCGCTTTGGTGCTTTCAATCCCTAAATGCTCCCCCCCCCCCCCCCCCCCCCCCGTCTTCCACTTATTTGTTTAACATTATGTTATTATCCTTATTTGGCAGTGGCGGAAGCCTTGTGGCATACTCTGATGCATCACAGCCACATGATAGCATCAAGAGTCATGACCTCACCAGTGTCTCTAAAAAGAAAAAAAAAGTGGTGGTACTTGGAACAGGTTGGGCTGGAACTAGTTTTCTGAAGAATCTGAAAGATCCCTCATATGATGTTCAGGTGATATCACCACGCAATTACTTCACTTTTACTCCCTTGCTGCCAAGTGTAACATGTGGCACAGTTGAAGGACGCAGCATTGTTGAACCGATTCGTAACATTATTAGAAAGGTAAAGTACATAAGCTAAATTGGCATAGTGTATGCATCTTATGATTAAATATTTGAATGCATATGCTTCAGGTTTTCTGAAGTGTAGTACACTAGTACTAAAAAATACAAAAGAAAAATCTGAGTCGTTTAATGTTCAAGCATGCACTAATCACAAAAACTTGACATGAGCAAAGTTCTGCAGAAAAACATAGATATGCATTACTGTGAAGCTGAATGTATCAAGATTGATGCGAAGAACAAAAAAGTATATTGTCGATCAAATTTGAACACCAATTTGAATGGGAAAGAAGAGTTTGCGGTAGATTATGACTACCTTGTGATTGGCATTGGAGCTCGGGTAAATACATTCAATATTCCTGGTGTGGAAGAACATACATTTTTCTTGAAGGTAATCTGTAATGCTTCTTGTCTTTTTATCTCTGTCTCCCTCACTGTTGTCTAGTGTTATTACTAATCTCTCTGATCAAGAAAATTTAGGCACATCTGTTCTATAATTTAAGAATGGCTAGAAACTGTGCAGGAAGTGGAGGATGCTCAGAGAATCCGGAGGGCTGTAATCGATTGCTTTGAGAGAGCGAGTCTGCCTAACCTTACTGATGAAGAGAGGAAAAAGATTCTTCACTTTGTTATTGTTGGTGGTGGCCCAACAGGTGTGGAATTTGCAGCACAACTGCATGATTTTGTTAGTGAAGATGTTGTTAGGCTATATCCCAAGGTCAAGGATTTTGTGAAGATTACACTGGTTGAAGCAACAGATCATATATTGAACATGTGAGAATTCATTGGTGACTTTGTAGATCATACATCTAATAGGCAATTGCAAGTGATGCACCTTCACCTACTAGTGTAAATTTCTTGATAAAACAGACTTGGGTCCTGCAGTTCAATTTTAGTATTGGAGTCGAGCTGCACAGATAAAAAGATCCTAAGCTAGTAGTATCAGTTGCTCTTTTTCATTTTTATGAGTGTTATCTATATTGGGTGTATTTCTTGATGTTTTGTCATTCATTGAATAAGTTGGTCTTAAATCACGCGGTAGGAAAACTTGTGTTAAGGAAGAGCTGTACAGAACTTCTTTCCTTAAGGTTACCAAAAATTCAAATTGACATCAATGTTATAGGGACTAGGCTATCTTATGCTTCCTTGTTCAACATGACCGGTCCTTCATTCACTATGTTATGTTTCTACTTCTACCAACTTACATATTTGACAACTGTTTTTTTGTCTTGTACACTTCGTCACTTTTACTATTGGTCTTATAGGTTTGACAAGAGAATCACAGCTTTTGCTGAAGACAAGTTTGGGAGGGATGGAATTGATGTGAAAACAGGATCTATGGTTGTGAAAGTGTCAGATAAGGAAATATCTACAAAAGATGCTAAACGTGGAGATGTAACTTCTGCACCTTATGGAATGATTGTTTGGTCAACTGGAATTGGGAGTCGTCCTGTTGTAGTGGATTTTATGAAGGAAATTGGTCAGGTGCATATATTTGTGTGTTATTTATAAATTTCAATATTATTCTATCCAAACCAATGGTAGCAATTAAGCTTCCCGGGGGTGCTTTCTTATGTTAGATTTGATGAAACTATTTAATCTGAAAAATTCACCTGCTACACAGGGACAAAGACGTGTTTTAGCAACTGATGAGTGGCTGAGAGTTGAAGGGTGTGATACCATATATGCAATTGGGGACACTGCCACAATTAATCAACGTAAAGTTATGGTGTGTATACTATTTATTTGAAAAGATCAAAATGAATGATAACATTGTTTCCTTTTTACAACTGAAGCAATGGATACCTAATGGACCAATTCCAAAGGTGTCATTTTCCATTTATTGGACAATATTTAATTTCTGTACAGTTATCACATACCAAATTTAGCAAGAGTTTTATCAGTGCAACTAATGGTTTGTTTTCCAGGAGGATATTGCATCTATATTTAAAAAGGCAGACAAGGACAACTCTGGGACACTTACAGTAAAAGAATTTCAAGAGGTGCTCAATGATATATGTGAAAGGTACCCACAAATGGAGCTCTACTTGAAGAACAATCGGATGAGTGGCCTGGTTGATTTGATGAAGGAAGGAAAAGGTGGCGATGTTAAGGAATCTATTGAAATTGACATTGAAGAATTTAAAGCAGCCCTCTCCAAAGTAGATTCTCAGATGAAGAACCTTCCTGCCACAGCTCAGGTTTGTTTGTACAGAGAAGATAAATTGATCACATAGTAGTTAGTAGTTCAGAGACAAACCATTTTGAAAATTTTCTTTACATTGTTAGTGATGCTTTTTTTGTAGGTTGCATCTCAACAAGGTGTATACCTTGCTAATTGCTTCAACCGCATGGAGATGTGTGAGAAGGATCCAGAGGGTCCTATTCGATTTAGAGGCGAAGGACGCCACCGCTTCCGTCCTTTTAGGTAAGTGTGCTAGTGTCTTTAGGTTATGTTTGGTGTAGAATGTAATGAAATTTTTGGGTCGTAAGTGTCATTCGTGAAAACATATACTCCTCAAAAGGGTGTATCTTGGTATTTTTATTGACAACCTAAGGTTGAACTGGTAATATGACCAAACTTTAGGGTAGGTAAATGGTAAATATTATTAACCGTGTGGTTTAATAATTATGATGACGTAATGTGTTGGTGCTTGGTTGGGTTGGAAGGTACAAGCATTTTGGACAATTTGCACCACTAGGAGGAGAGCAAACAGCAGCACAATTGCCTTGGGATTGGGTTTCAATTGGTCGCAGTTCGCAATGGTTGTGGTATTCGGTGTATGCGAGCAAACAAGTGAGTTGGCGTACAAGGGCATTGGTGGTGTCGGACTGGATGAGGCGATTCATTTTCGGGAGGGACTCCAGCCAAATCTAGCCAATCATTCATACCCTGTTTGATAGTTCCTCCTTCTTTGCAGTTTTTCTGCTTATACTTCCCTGTTTTGCAGCATTAGGATTGCCAAAATTTGGAGGCAGAGATAGATATTAATAATAAAATAATAATACACCTGCAATAATACTTGATGTTTCTGTATGTTAAGTTTCAAGTTTCTTGAGGCTCGCAGTTAACATTATTTCATGTTAGCCAAAAGTTCATGAAAGAGTCTGCACTTAGATATAACATGGTGGTAAGCCATCTTTTCTTTATTTGAACTACTTAAGTTTATCTGTTGCACAACTCAGAATTTCTATCTCGCACTATATATATAAATTTCTTGTGAGTTTGTCACTACCCAGATATGGTACCTTTTAATCATGTTAAAATTACTTGGAATGAATGTTATTGTTGGGATTTTGGGCTCCCAACAATGTGGAGAAAGGCCCAAAAATATGTCAAGCCCATTGGCCTCACTTTAGAGTGGAGAGGGGTCAAGTGAAGGGAAAGAGAGAGTAATTGGAAGAAGAAAAAAAGAGAGAGAGGAGAAGAAAACATTTTCGCACAACCCTACTGCTGCAGCACTGTTTTCATCACTGCGACTTCGTTCACCGTTGGATCTGGCTGAAATTTTGACAGCAGGTTCGTGACTTCTGGTATTTCATTCTGGATGGTTGGATCGGTGAGAAGATGTCTGGAGTGGGAGAAATCGACCTCGCTCAGTAGCAGCAAAAATCTGGTTTTTTCTGATATTCTTGGTTCTCTAATTTGTGATTGTTGGTTTGTTGTTTCGCCAATTGTTGAGCACTATTTATGCTATATTTGAGACTCTCTTGTACCCTGATTTGATCATAGTGGAGTTTGATTGACTGGCTTGTGCCCGTGGTTTTTTCTTCTCACATTGACAAGGTTTTCCTCATTAAAAATCTTGGTGTCCCTTTGTTTGTGTGATTTCATTAGGTGCTGGATTATTTGTTATTGCTCCTCTTAGATTCCGGCAAGTTGGGGAAATTTATTGTCCGCGGCATATTACTTTGTTTGAGTTGTTATTGTGTTGAATTTCCCATCAGTCAGCATTAAAAATGTACCATGAAGGTAGACTGGTTGTTGACACTAGCTAAAGTTATACCGATGGTAAAGGAATAGTATAGTGTGGATCATCATATTAAGATTACGACTTATTGACATTCATTTCTAAAATCGGTAGAACTATGTTGAGCCATTTATAGTATCATGCTCCGTATTAAATTGTTAAATGGCAACGCTAGTATAAACCAGATTGGAAAAGAACGTCTATTATTGGCATTCACAATTTCAAAGTGGATACTATTAAGCTAAAAACGATATTGACAATATACCACTATATACTAGGGATGGACTAAACCGGCCCGGCCTGACCCGGAACCGGCTCGACCTGTTACTGTTTGGACCCGGACCGGACCGGGACCGGTTGGCCGGTTCCGGGCTTTTAGCTCGTTTGGCGGGTCGGGCGGGCCGGGCTCGGGCCCAACTTTTGGTGAACCGGCCCGGGCGGTTCGGGCCGGGCCCGGTTCAATTTTTTTTTTCATCAATTTTTTTGCTTTTCTAGGTTAGGGTTGGGTGTTTTTTTTGGGGGGGGGGGGGGGGGGGGGTTGGGGGTGGGGGTGAAGGGGGGGGTCGGGTGTTAATTAGAAACCAAAAAAAAAAATTGAAATTAACCCGGGCCTGGCCCGGCCCGGCCCGGTTAGGCCCGGACCCGGTATCATCCCGGGCCGGTTCCGGGCCCAACATTTTGCAAAAAAAGCCCGCCCGTGCCCGACCCGGAACCGGAACCGGCCCGGCCCGGGTCCATCCCTACTATATATACTAATATAGCAAATGTACTGTTAAGATTGGTTGAACTCTCTTAACCTAAAGGAGATTATAACGCTCTAAATTAATATCCGATACTTGTATACCACCATAACTTATAAAAAATCGATTTAATATTTAGATTAATCACATTGACTAAAAATATTGCTAGCAAATTTTCTTAGGGTCGGATTGGGAGTTTGATTTTGAGGGGGATGGGAAGAGATGTGAGGTGAGGGTCAATGACCCCCTATTTTGTGTTTGGGAGTTTTTTAATATGGAAGGAAAGATTTTGGAGTTTTTTTTTAAATCCCTTTAAACTCCCCAAATACCCATTTCTCTAATTCCCCCAAATTGGGAGGTTTTGAACGACTTTTTCAGATCACGACAAATGTAAATACATCTCCTCGAGTCAGCATTGATGCATACGTCCCCGTCCATGCTTGCATGACAAGCATTTTGAGCGTCAAGAATACCCTTCACTGCTACACACATGTATTATTATTATTATTATTATTATTATTATTCTTATTATTATTATTATATTATTATTATTATTAGTATTATTATTATTATTAATATTATTATTATTATTATTGTTATTATTATTATTATTATTATTATTATTATTATTATTGTTGTTGTTGTTATTATTATTATTATTATTATTATTGTTATTATTATTATTGTTATTGTTATTGTTATTGTTATTGTTATTTTTATTATTGTTATTATTGTTATTATTATTATTGTTGTTGTTGTTGTTGTTGTTATTGTTATTGTTATTGTTATTGTTATTGTTATTGTTATTGTTATTGTTATTGTTATTGTTATTGTTATTGTTATTGTTATTGTTATTGTTATTGTTATTGTTATTGTTATTGTTATTATTATTATTATTATTATTATTATTATTATTATTATTATTTTTATTATTATTATTATTATTATTATTATTATTATTATTATTATTATTGTTATTGTTGTTATTGTTGTTATTGTTGTTGTTGTTGTTGTTGTTGTTGTTGTTGTTATTGTTATTGTTATTGTTATTGTTATTGTTATTGTTATTGTTATTGTTATTGTTATTGTTATTGTTATTGTTATTGTTATTGTTATTGTTGTTGTTGTTATTGTTATTGTTATTGTTATTATTGTTATTGTTATTATTGTTATTGTTATTATTGTTATTGTTATTATTGTTATTGTTACTATTGTTATTGTTACTATTATTTTTGTTACTACTATTACTGTTACTACTGTTACTGTTACTACTGTTACTGTTACTACTATTACTGTTACTACTCATACTGTTACTACTATTACTGTTACTACTATAACTGTTACTACTATTACTGTTACTACTATTACTGTTACTACGATTACTGTTACTACGATTACTGTTACTACGATTATTGTTACTACGATTACTGTTACTATCATTACTGTTACTACCATTAGTGTTACTACCATTACTGTTACTACCATTACTGTTACTACCATTACTGTTACTACCATTACTGTTACTACCATTACTGTTACTACCATTACTGTTACTACCATTACTGTTACTACCATTACTGTTACTACCATTACTGTTACTACTATTACTGTTACTACTATTACGTACTGTTACTACTATTACTGTTACTACTATTACTGATACTACTATTACTGTTACTACTATTACTGTTACTACTATTACTGTTAATACAATTACTGTTACTACTATTACTGTTACTACTATTACTGTTACTACTATTACTGTTACTACTATTACTGTTACTACTATTACTGTTACTACTATTACTGTTACTACTATTACTTCTACTACTATTACTGTTACTACTATTACTGTTACTACTATTACTGTTACTACTATTACTGTTACTACTATTACTGTTACTACTCTTACTGTTACTACTATTACTGTAACTACTATTACTGTTACTACTATTACTGTTACTACTATTACTGTTACTACTATTGCTGTTACTACTATTACGTACTGTTACTACTATTACTGTTACTACTATTACTATTACTGTTACTACTATTACTGTTACTACTATTACTGTTACTACTATTACTGTTACTACTATTACTGTTACTACTATTACTGTTACTACTATTACTGTTACTACTATTACTGTTACTACTATTACTGTTACTACTATTACTGTTACTACTATTACTGTTATTACTATTACTGTTATTAGTATTATTACTGTTATTATTATTACTGTGATTATTGTTGTTATTATTATTATTATTGTTATTATTATTATTGTTATTATTATTATTGTTATTATTATTATTAATTTTTTTTCAAATGTATGGGTATATATTTCAAGTTTTTAGATATTTTATACTTCAATTATTTTAAATATTAAACAATTGTTTTTTGAATAATTTTTTTTTGTTTGCTGAAGTGAAATTGAAATGTGAATTTAAATATTGTTGATATTTAAATAAACATTATGATGTTTTAACAAAGAATATGAGTTCATTTTCTGACTATGTTTTTTTACTTATTAGCTTACTAGTCATTTTTTCATTAAGTACGTAATTTTTTATTTTGTGCGCTCAATTATATAATAATAAACCAATTTTTTTATTTTCATGATTTTTTTATTTCGAATTTGGTATTACCAAACATGTGATTTATATATATAAATATTGAAGCAATTTTTCAAGAAAAAAAATCAAAGCATGTAGTAATCTAAACAATAAAAAATATAACATCCAATGTACTATAATGTTTATACAATGAGAAAGAGGTACATGTATTTTTGATTATATGTCCTCCAAAATCCTCATCTTTTGAAATTTGTAACTCCCAAACAAGAGGAGGGAATCCCTTCCATCTCCCTCCCCTTCCCTTCCCTTCCCCTCCCCCTACTCTCCTTCAAAGTCTTTCCCTTCCCTCATCCTCAAACTCCCTTATAAGATGATGCATGCATAAGATAACACGTGCATGATTAGGGCTCATCACATACTAACTTCGATACACAATCCATTACTCTGGCAATGCAGTATTGGAGGATTTTACTTTTCTAAGGGTGTGTTTGGGAGTTGGATTTTGAAGGGGAGGGGAAGGTTAATGGGGGCTTGTGACCCTCCTTTTCATGTTTGGGAGTTTAAAAAATGGGAGGGGATGGTTTTGGAGGGTTTTTGTAACCCTTCAAAACCCTCCAAATGTTTAATTTTTAAGTTTCCCCAATTTAGAGGGTTTTGGAGGATAATTAACAAGATGGTAATTTAAGCTAAATTAAAAATGAATATCAGCTCAATGATTTGAATTCGTCATATCTGAACGTGATTTTAATTATAATTCTTTCAAAACCTCTTCTTTTCCAATTTTATTATTCCCAAATACAAAGAAGGACTTCCTTACCATCCCCTTCCTTTCCCTTCAACAACATACCTCCAAAGCCTTCCCTTCCCCTCCCCTTCCAACTCACAGACATACCCTAAATGTTTACAGAATTCGCTGGTACACACTTACACGAATGCAACCATTTCAAAAATGATCGAGCGGAGAAAACAAGCTCTGCTCGAGAGAAAGCTTACCCACTGAACTGTTGCTCTGTTAATTCTTAAAATACAACGAAAACAGAGTTTAGTACACTATCTTTTTTTAAAACACATATAGGTCGTGATTTTGGATCAAATAAATCATTCACTCTTTCCCCAATGTGAAAACAAAAGATTAAAAGAATATAACGAGGACCGTACATGCTTCACAAATATCATCACGGTGACTATGACGTAAAACTTAAACATTGTCATCCTCACAAAAGCTCATATAAACCATAAATTCATATTCTGTAGTTTTGAGAGGTAATTAATCAGGTAAAAGTCCCCCCCCCCCCCCCCCCCCCCCATGATTTTCCAAATAGATAAACTTAACACAGAAACATCAAATTCAAAATTTTGGGCTTTCAACATGGTTTAGAGTTTCCAAAAGGGTGAACCATTAGGTTTGAGGAGTTTTCTACTTTACAGTCAATCTTTTTCTAGCTACCACAGATGCTGCATGCCTTGTGATATACGGAGTACTTCGTATTAATATAATAAAATCACCTTGGCTAAAACTTATGAAAAAAAGGTAAATAAAAATGATTTACATGTTTAAAACATACTCCGTATATTATACGAAGTACTACGGTAATATAATAGATAAGAAAGCACAATAAAAAAGATGTTTTACAAGTTTGGCATGCAATTTAAGATAATAATATTTGAAAACGATATCCAAGTCAGAACTTATCCAGAATTTGCATATATAGTTAGTGGATCAGTAGGTACAGTTAGGCCAAAAATAAATTGTGCATAAAATTAATTATCGTGTCCCAATTAATGACGCCCATATATGGCAGTAAATATTACTAGTAATAATTACATGCAGGAAGAAGGAGCTAAGCTTATCTAGTATAAGTTTATTGTACACTATACGTACTATATATATTGAAAAAATAGTGAGTAAAGTTCCTCGATGGTCAGTTATATATATGTAGTGAGTATTTTTTTTCTTCATTGTTTCTACGCACTCTCTCCAGGCCAATATATACATCAACATCATCTTAATTATATATATCTACCACCATTTTTTGCTGTGTACGTACGTAGCAATAAGCTAGTTCTATTTATACCATTAGAAGGAAGGAAGATATATTAAATTGAAGAATGGCTGGTGGTGGTTTTGGGCCTAGTCGTCCGGCCGGTAATAAAGGAAAAGAATACCCAGGCAAACTTACCGGATATGTCACTGTCACTTGCATTGTTGCTGCCATGGGAGGTCTTATTTTCGGTTACGATATAGGAATTTCGGGTATTTCATTGCTTTTCTATTGTGTATACGTTATGCGCGCGATAGCATGTTTTATTTTTGGTCGTAAGGACAGAAAATATGGGAATGATACTCGTAGAACATTTTAAGGCCGGATAATAATTATATTCAGCAAGTTACGTTTTGAAAAGAGAGCTATTTTTCTTCTTTTTAATAATCCACCGGCTAATATAATGGCTTGCACTTTGTTCCTCATTGGTCGCGTCCTATGTGACGCGGAGACTGGCCGGGGAGGAAGTATTCCATGCTGTTGGGAGGCGCTCTCTTCTGCGCTGGCGCTTTCATCAATGCCTTTGCTCAAAACGTGGCCATGTTGATCCTCGGCCGCCTTTTGCTTGGTTTTGGTGTTGGCTTTGCCAATCAGGTAGGTAGGTAGGTCACTAGGTCTTACCTTTCCTTGCTTATAGTTACGTTTTGCGAATAAAACAATAAAGGAGCCAGTTGGCGGATCTTGCAACTTGATTTTGGGTGTTCAAATATATTTTACCACTAAGACTACGTTACATAAAAATTTTCGTTATTAGACTACTAACTCTATATATATATATACGTACGTATATATGTATGTTTATTCGATCGGTCTCATGTGATCATGTTGTAGGCTGTTCCACTGTACTTGTCTGAAATGGCTCCATACAAATATAGAGGAGCACTCAACATTGTGTTTCAACTATCCATCACTATTGGGATCTTAGTTGCCAATGTGTTGAACTACTTGTTTGCGAAGATCAGTTGGGGTTGGCGTTTGAGTCTGGGAGGAGCTATGGTTCCCGCGTTGTTCATCATAGTTGGGTCCATCTTCCTCCCCGAGACGCCAAACTCGTTGATCGAGCGGGGCAACAACGAGGTGGCAAAAGAGAGGCTGAGGAGGATCAGAGGAGTGGAGAACGTGGATGAAGAGTTTGAGGATTTGGTGGCGGCGGCTAGTGATGCCGGCCTCTAGGAAAGTTGAGGACCATGCATGGAGAAACTTGTTGCAAGAAAAATATAGGCCGCAACTCACAATGGCAATCATGATCCCATTTTTCCAGCAATTCACCGGAATTAATGTGATTATGTTTTACGCGCCAGTGTTGTTCAATACCATTGGTTTTGGAGACGACGCTTCGCTCATGTCCTCTGTGGTCACCGGCGGTGTTAATGTTGCTGCTACTCTCGTCTCCATTTACTATGTTGATAAATTAGGTCGAAGGTTTTTGTTTCTGGAGGGTGGCATACAAATGTTCATTTGTCAGGTAAATAAACAACTTTCCACTTAACTACGTGCATGCATGCATTAACGCAATTTTATTCAATAATTACGAGACACTTTAATTTCCCTTTATTATTTTGCATGCCCCGTCCACATGTGGCCGGTCTAATAAAGCATGTGTGTGTTAAAAGCTAGTCAGGAAAAGATGGGAAGACTAATTTGACTAAACACTTTAAGTTCTAGTCGTATATGACTATATGAGTGTGATCATATATATATATATATATATATATATATATATATATATATATATATTTTTATTTATAAGCGAACACACTAAAATAAAATACTTAATATTTTATATATGTAGACGAGTATGAAGTATATAAACTTCAATAATCACAATATGCGGCACACACATGTTTTTCAATCATACACTCTGTATATAATATATAATGGAACTTATAACCAAACCATACAAATTAAAAGTATGAAAAGAAAAATACATACATATGAGCAAAAGGGCCCAATTTCTTACTAAAAAGGCAATAGACCTTCCCTCTTGCATTACAACTGCCCCAATTCCTCCCCCCACTGGCATCTGTCTTAATGATAAAGGGTAAAGAGAAATCTGTTAACGCAAGAACTCATACAAATTCATAAATATGACTTGGTATGTTTCTTTACCATTGTATGACGGGAGAATTTTAAGAAATGCTTCACGTTAAAAAGGAGACCAAATTATACCAAAAAGGATAAACGCACGCAAGATGCTTTGGTTTGGGATAGGAATATTTCCAATAAAATCTCCATAATTGTAGACTACGGAGAAAGAATTGATTGCTTCCGGAGTACAATTAAACCACTCATTAGTGGAAAAACATGTAAGTCATATCACTACTAGAAAAGTAGCTATTTGTTGCGGTTATTTTTAGCTATTTGCTACGGTTTTTAGCTATTTTTGTCTTACGTATTTCTGGTAAATTTTTCCCTGCAATGTCAACCACAATGTCTACATCTAGACATTGTGCTTGACATTGTGAAGAAAAACTTACCAAAATGATATAAGAACCTTCAAATAAGGAGAGAGATATTCTATTTATTGTTTTTTCATTGGTTATCTCTCATACCGCGTATGCACCGTTAACGTTTTAGCATTGAAGATGCTCTAATAGGTGGTTGGCCGAGTCAATCTTAAAAACTACAAAAAAAGGAATAAAAAAATCACATTTGACTAGTAAATAGTAATTAAAAATACAAGGGCTCAATTTTCTCTTGTTCCCCTGCTATGTGAACAAGCAGTGTTGAATAACAACCTCTTTAAGGTGGAGTTTGATTGTTAGCTTCTTCTTCGCCTTCTCGAGAATATTGTTTTCTTCAAAAATAACTTTTACCTCATCTTCTGCTCTAAGAAGGTTATTCAACAAGTATTCCTTGTCTTTTCTCAAAGCCAAAATGCAATTCTTACCAAGAGTCCATAAACCCCATGAAAAGGGGTGAAAACTTCTCCGTGAATCATGAGCGAAATAGCGTAAAGAACAAAACATACAAAATTCTAGTTTCAGATAATACAAAATAAATGTCATAACATACATAAACTTCATAATATACTGCAGGTCAGCTTTACCAACATTTTTTCCAGAAAGGTAGCATATTCAATTTGTTCAATTAACCCTTACCAAATGGACCAGAAAATAACAACATTCCTTCTTAGTGGAAATTGAAACCAGAAAATCAGTAATTACCATTTAAAACATGTAATTATGTATCGTAAAGAGATTTTTAATTTAACTTGAAAGAGAGAAGAAGTACAACAGAAGGAGGGGCGAGGTGGCCTTGCTATGTGAAGAAGCGAGAAGGAATGGTTGCGATAGGGTTTGCTGGGTGATGCGGTTGCGAGGCGGCCGGATTGGCCGGCTGATGAGGTTGCGAGGCGGTGAGTTTGGTTGGTTGATGCAATTGCGAGACAACGGGGTTTGTTGGGCGATGCGGTTGCGAGGCGGAGGGGTTGGTTGGCCGATAGAGTTGCGAGGCGGCATGGTTGGTTGGCAAGGCTGTTGAGAGGTCGGGGAATCGGATCCTGGGTTAGAAATGTGACTGGGAGCCTGGGAGTCGCATGGAGGGCGTCCATCTATGCAGGAGCGGCTGCATCTGCGATGAGGAGCGGTGCTACGGTCGGCCAGAAGCTGCTGGGAGGCGCTGGGATTTTGGCCTTTTGGGAGGGTTTGAAGTGTTTTGACGGAAGGGGAAGAGGAACTTCTGAAATTGTGAAAGGTTATTTGATGAGGTTTTAGGAATGACCGCAACAAGTAGTTTCAAAAGTTAATGCATTTGTTGCGGCTCTCTTTCCCAGCAGCAAACTAGTCAAAAAGAAATTTAAAATTCAAAATATTACAAGTATTTGCTACGGTTCTAACACAACCGCACCAAAAAGTATCAAATATTTCAACTTTTTGCTGAGGTCATAGTAGAACCGCAACAAATACTTAAAAATTTTGCCTATTTGCTGCGTTTTAACTAAGAACCGCAGCAATTGGATAGCACCAAATAAGGAAAATTCTAGTGAGATAGTGAGATAGCAATTATCTAGGCAAGCATTACATCAACCTGTAGGAATAGAAATATAGATTCTCAGAAAATAAATTGAATGTTTTGAAAACCATATAATTTTTACAATTATTGAATTAGTAAATATTTGATGTATAATTAATGTCTTTTAAAATTTTCCCTGGATAGCTCAGACATTTGCGATTTGCGAAATGTTTTAGGATTTGCCTCAAAAATGAAATAGAAATGTACTATCCCCAGGGGTGGAGCCAGGATGGTCAGCCGACCCCGCTGAAAGTTTGAGAGTATAGAACTCTGAAATATCTCCGATTTGATATATTATGACCCTCGTAACTCATTACGAGTAAAAAGTTATGACTTTTGGAAAATAAGCACTATCTGAACGTAAAATCAGCAAAATTTGATACATACTATAGATTATTTTCCCAAATTTTAAAAATAGGATATAATTCATTCAATACTTACGTGACACGACTCAAAAATAGCGCAAAGACAATCTATCTTATTGCTACGAGTGCCTATTTAATTATCTAAACTGAATATGAAATATTTAATTCGGACATTGTTTAAAAATGATTCACAATTTTAATTCTGTATATAGGTTGAGTTTCGACCCCGAGCTGTTTTTCTGACTCCGCCACTGACTACCCCTATGTAAATGTGACTTGAACTGAAATATTTTGCATCACTATCTATTTTTTTTATTACAAACGGTTTTGTAGGTTGTAATCGCAATATTTATTGGGGTGAAATTCGGAGTAAACGGATACCCGGGCGAGTTGCCAAAGTGGTACGCTGTAGTGGTGGTGCTATTTATTTGCATTTACGTGAGTGCTTTCGCGTGGTCATGGGGGCCTTTGGGTTGGCTCGTGCCCAGTGAGATTTTCCCGCTCGAGATTCGTTCTGCGGCGCAAAGTGTTAACGTTGCGGTCAACATGATCTTCACATTCATCATCGGACAAGTCTTCTTGACAATGTTGTGTCACATGAAGTTCGGGCTATTCTTGTTCTTCGCCTTTTTTGTGTCTATCATGACCATGCTCGTCTATTTCTTCCTGCCTGAGACCAAGAACATCCCAATAGAGGAGATGACTGTTGTTTGAAAAAAAACATTGGTACTGGACAAGGTTCATGATCGAGGTTGATTATCCCGGAACATCAAACTCTGTCGAATTGAGTGTTGTAGGAGAATCTGCTCACAAAAAAGCGTGACAAATTTGGTTACAAGGGAAATGTGTACTTCTGGTTTGACATTTGATATCATGTTGTCTTTTTGAAGTTTTTACTTTTATTAAATTTGTTCGATTTCGGCGATAATTATCATGTGTAAAACCAAAATGTGTGTAATTCATAATTTTCTTATCCATTTTGATCGATTTACACATATTTTAGAAAATTACTTGTCATATGAATAAAAGTTTGAATGTTTCGGAGCCCGATTGGGGACTCTGTTTTTCAGCTTAGGAGTCAACTTTTTAACCAAACACGTAACTTTTGATTTCACGTACTAAATTGTGTAATAATAAGAAAAAGTAAGGTTGGAGTTACTTTTTTGACTGTATTTGCAGAAGTTACTGAAGATGACCATTTTAGCTATTTTTCATTAATTTGTTAAAGTCTCACACCGGATATGTGTGAAACAATTAAACATTATATTAAGATCCGAGACACTCTTATCGGGTTGACCTCTTAGAATGAAACTTCATGTTTTAATATGGTATCAGAGCAAAAACGATCCATAATTATGGTGTGGAGCCCCTATAAAAAATGACGACACGATTATAAAAAATGACAATGACGAACCGATGAAAAAATGAATGACGACACGATGCAGACGAATTGTCTGGTCGTGAAGAGGGGTGTTAAATTCCCACATAGGATATCTCTGAAACAATTAAACACTATATTAAGATCTCGGACACTCCTCCTATTGGGTTATGGGTTAACCTTTTAGGATGAATTCTCAGGGCTTAACATAATTTTTTCTATATTTTATTAATCAAATATATTTTAATTTTTTTGTAAATCAGTAAAATCAGTCAATACAACCACTTCGGCCAAAACTTCATAAATATCAACATATTTAGCCGATTCGACAGATTTTCGTGTAGCCAAACGAGCTCTCAATCTATGACTATTATGGAGTATCTTTTTTCCTAATATGACGGCATGCCATTATGCATATCATCCG